ATTAATTTATTTAAAATTTCTTTACATTTTATCATTTCACTAATACTAAAATCGATGTATCGTAATTTTTAAACACAATAAATATCTTGAAAACCATTCACCTTGTCGAACTAAACGAAGAGCACCTGTTTTACGTAAAAAAATTCTAGGTTTTTATATCATTGGTTGATATTACTGTATCTACAAGGATAAAAGAAGTACCACTAATTGTACTCTCTCTCTACCCTAATGAAAGTACCCTTTCAGGGCTGTTACGGCATTTTTCACAATCACCATTCGCTTTGGCATTAAAATATGTGTAAAAGTTTCACCCGGTATGTTGTTAGGTATGGAACTTAAACCATTTTACAAATAAAATATGACAAACCAATTTTTTTGGCACTTAGAAAATTATTTGCTTCAATTGTTTTTATCAATCTACTCGTATTAGCTGGTAGAGAAAATTACACGCTGTTTTACTTTTTTCAAAAACATAGGTATACTTACTCTCTCTTTTTTTCTATTTGGATTTTGCCATTATTATTATATTGTTGTTGACTGAGGAGTGAACTTTTATGCTTTTAGTAGCTCCAGGTGATTTTTTTTGGACCACCTTAACAGTGCTATAGGTCCGTCCTAATGTAGAACAGAATTTTCGGCGAATATTTCGGCGTTGTCAATTTTTGGGTCACCTCAACTTTCGGCCTGATTAATTTTCATTGTTAATTTAATTTAATTGTATGTGACAAGATTTTTCAATAACACTTGTACCTGATTTTAGTAGTACATAATAATAATAATAGGAATTCTAATAGAAATAATAATTTACAAAATAAGATCAGTTTCTTTTGTAATTTCCATCAACCAACAAACTTCCTTATTATCATAGGTTTGTTTTGAGTACTACTCTGTATTTTTATCTTTCATTCTAAAAATTAAACTAATTAATTTATTAAATATATTTTGCACAATTTCTGGTTTTTGTTAAATTTCAAAATGTTTCCGTATGTGGTTGCTATATTTTTGTTATTAAGTTTAATATTTTTCTTTTCAAAATGGAGATATTCATATTGGACTAGGAAAGGTGTTAGACAACTGAAACCTGAATTTTTTTACGGGAATGTAAGGTAAATGATTTATCAAAATATAATTTTGGTTAGTTAAGGGTTAGTTTAATATTATATATTTTTTTTGGAAATAATTTTCGTAGAGAGGTAATAAACAGTAAGGTGTGAAAACGCAGTTTTATTTTACTTTTAAGAAGTTGGGTATGAAATATGGCGGTATATACTGGGGATCCAAGCCTCAACTGTTAATCGTAGATCCAGAACTGGTAAAAATGTTTTACAAAAAGACTATGCCTATTTCCAAGGAAGGGGTAAATACAATTAAATATAAAATACAAAACAAGCGATAATTTGTTGTATATTCAGGTTTATATTCGCATAAAAGAGACATATTAACACAAAACATGTTCCGAATGCAGGGCGAACCATGGAAAAAAATAAAGACTAAACTTAGTCCAACCTTCACTTCTAGCAAAATGAAAATGATGTTCGAGACTGTCTTGGAAAAAGGCGATAGACTTGATCAAATATTGGAGCAATGCTCGGATCGTGGAGAAATAGAAGTCACTGACGTCATGCGACGTTACACCACTGACGTAATAGGATCGTGCGCCTTTGGCATCGAATGCGATTCGTTGAAGAACCCTGACTGTGATTTTAGGTAAATAAGTAAATATGTAAAATATATCTAAAACCTGGAAAACGAACGTATGAAGAGTAATGTAGTTATGTAGAATGTGCAGAATATGTATCCATCGCGTCCCAGGCTGAGCGTGCATTAGAAGTTTCTCGAGAACTACAAGATCCAGACTGGAGATTTTTTGCACATCATTGTTTCGCAATGAGATCTATCAATTAAAAATATTTTCAATATGGCGGCACTTCCGGAAATACCGGAAGTTGACAGCAACTTTCTTATTTTAAATAGGTCCCTCCATTTTTTATTATATATTTAAATGCTCTATAAAATTTGATGAATCTTGATATCAAACACGCTATACCTACCTATACCGGGTGCGTCTCAAAAGTGGCTCACCCCTATAACTTTTTTATTTTTTCAGATAAAAAAAACGAGATTTGGTATGTTAGTATATGACATAAATTAGGATTGATTGACGCATTCAATTGTTTTTGGTCACTTCCTGTTTCACCGGAAATGACTACAACTTTTGATTTGTAAATGGCACTCCCGGTATTTTTTTATTTTATTCGATAGAAAATGACACTCTGAATAGAATGATATTGTCATATGTCAATTTTTGACATTTTCGCATATGGTTTTTTTGATATTATAACTTGCGGTTCGTAACGAAAATTTGACTCGAAATACCAAGTGTGGGGTATCAAATTATTCGTAAAAAAAGCTTTTTCCAAATATGCTAATGAGCCACCCTCGTTCCATTTAAGAAAATTGAGATATTATTAAAAATACGATTTGAGCATTTTCTAACTGGCCAGGACAAGACACTAAAAACATTAGACGATCAAATCTATTTTTCCAAGGCTCCATGATTAAGAATTAGTGTACTAACATGCCAAATCTCGTTTTTTTTAAATAAAAAAGTTTTAGGGGTGAGCCACTTTTGAAATGCACCCGGTATACCTAACATAACCGTTTTTGAGAAAAAATATTTAAAAATTTTGGAGGAAAAAACTGCCTGTCAAAAAAATTTGTATAGCCTAAACGTCAAATTTTGTAATTACCACAGCCACTGTGACATAAACAGAAGACATGTGACTATCTATTTCAAAAATTAAATTGTTTAAATGTCATATAATATTGGTCGTAGCTGTCATGGAATCGAGTGATTAAAAAATTATCGTAAATCATTTTTTTCAAATGGAAACCCACTTTTTTTATTTCACTAGTGAAAAGGTTTTTTAATTCGTTCCTATACCTAAAATAAATTGTTTTTAAGTTATTTCAGATTTAGTTTTAAAGCGTTTATTTTACTGGTTTTTAATCGGGAGCCTATGACTTCAAGTGTATGGCCCCACAGTAAGCGGAGAAGACCACGAAGCGTTTAAATGCATTGAAGTAAATGGAACTGGCCCGACATACAGTCAAGGCGTATTGCGGATTGGCGCGTATTATACTATCGTCAGCTCTATGTGTGCAGCTATGTTAGGCCATGGTCCAGTGGCGGTTCGTGGGTATAAAATTAGGTGAAGAGTTAATGTTTTAAATTGCGCCGAAAATTTTTTTGGCACATACACCATTTTGTCAACATTTTTTAAAATATTATTTGAAAAATTTTTGCTGCATTCACCATTTTGTCAACATTTTTTTTTGTTATTATTTATACACTAATATCTATAATATTTTCGTTTTAGTTTGGGCTAAAACACATTATGTAAAAAGAGATACAATCAGTTTTCGATAAACACATGATTTTGCATACCGGTGAAAATATAATTAAATTTAAATTAAATATAATAAACATTATATACAGTATCCCCCATAAAGTTGGATCCATATGGACGTCTTTTTTATATTAGAGTTTTAAAAAATCTTTTTGTGGCAATCACTTCTGCTTTGAAAACAACTTAAAATGCACCAAGTCAAAGTTGACAGCTAACATCTGGGAGCTGTCAAATACAAAATATTTAAAAGACGTTTTTAAAAATTGGTTAAATTATTATTATTTTAAAAAAGGTGACTAACAAAATTATGTTTCACCTTTGACTTGGTGCATTTTAAGTTGTTTTTAAAGCAGAATTGGTCGCCACAAAAAGTTTTTTTATCTCTAATACCAAAAAAACCGTTCATATGGATCCAACTTTATGGCGAACACTGTATTTATTGAAGGGCTTCCCGGAAAACGTTGTAACCGACATTTTTTTCAAAATAGAGAATTCAGTGAAATTAGGTTGTAATTTTCATAGGTATAATGTTTTTTCCTCGTTTTTTTCACTGAAATTTCGATATTGAAAAAATTGTTGGTTACAACCGAGGACCGATTCAATTATTATTCAATTATTACATTAATTATTATTACATTAATGTTTACTAAGCAATATTAACCAAAATAAATTTGACTTATTTAAATTACTAACCTTACTAATTTTTGTAAATCAGCTCAATTTTTCATGTTTCAAATTGCACACCAAGTCATTGATTGGGTTCATTTTTTAACACATACACACACACAAAACAGTTTTAAAACACAACAACAAAACAAACAGCAAAAATTAACAAGTAAAATCAACAAAAACTATTAACAAACAACAATAAATAATCAACCACAACTTTACAGTCTTTACACGGTTAATTACTCGCCGAAGTAGCCTAATATTAGCATAAAGGAAGACGGAGCGAACTGCCTAAAAACAAAGTCACATCGGTAGCCGATAAAAAATTTCGGGGCTGGGAATTTACATGCTGTCGCTAGGCTGACGTCACGTTACCATGGAAATCGTGCAGCCGCTCGGCTCACAAATATTTTCACTTCACTTGTGGGTTCGTGGAAACGTAGGCCATAACGTAGGCGCGTGCGGGCCAATAATGCTACTTTTTCGGCCGGAAGTAACGATGCGGTGGACCTATTATGCAGAGGTCCGCCCGGAAAAAAAAAATTTACAAAAAATTACCATTTTATTTTTTAGATACATGTAAATATATTAAACTAAACTAATATTTTAAGCAGTAAAGTTTTTTTCTTTAATTTGAGTATTTTCGGTGAAGGGCCCCTTCACCTACTGCACCTGACGAGCCGCCACTGCCATGGTCTAAAAGTCAAGCGATGTAAAACTATATCTGGCCTTGTCATATTGCCATTAGATATTACACTATACTAAAATATGAGATATCTTTTAATAAATACACTTTATAAAGTTTTAAGCAGCAGTAGGTATTAAATTAATAATAGACGAAATTCATATAATTCGTTTTCTGACAGAAGGAAATAAATTGTCTGATTGTTTGACACTTAATGTCAAAGGAAGCTAGAAAATTTCAAGAAAAATACACGCTTTAACATTTTGCTTTAATGGTGTTTTTAGAAAAGATTTTATGCATCTACTTCTGCAAATGCGTAACAAGTAACAATATCGATGCTCCAGATCAGAAAAGCAATGCTTCTATCACAGATGACGAAATAGTTGCCGAATGCTTCTTGTTTTTTGCTGCGGGTTATGATACTTCGGCTACAACATTATCGTATGCTGCATACGAATTGGCCAGGCAACCTGACATACAGGAAAAGATCAGACAAGAAATAAAAAAGGTATGAACTAAAAAAAATAAAGATATTATTTTTGGACTATATGATATATCTTTAGGTTTTAGAAAAATACAACAATAAAATGACATATGATGGTTTAGGAGAACTAGTTTACGCTGAAAAAGTTATATATGGTAAGATATATTAGTCCGGTTAAAACCGGATTAACCAGGTTGGAAAACTATGGTATAGGTGCTTGTCCACTTAGGAGGCGCGTCGTTTTTAGTATGCACGCGCACTTATGCGAAACGGCGAGCTGCGCCGCCGCACAATGGATCGAAGCATAGGAAAATAGGGACATTGACTTATTTCAAAATTAATACTTTTATTTTACTGTTTTTTATGTACGACTTTAATAAATACAACAAAAATCTAAATTAATACGGCATTTTGTACCATATAGTTTACAAAATATACAGGGTGTCTCAAAAAAAGAACTAATATCTAAACAAAAATATTATAACAAAAAAGAAATTGCTTTCTCTGTTAAAACTAAATTAATATGGCCTTTTGTACCAGATATTTTAAAAAATATACAGGGTGTCTTACAAAAAGAGCTCATCTATAAACAAAAAAGAAAACAAAACATTATAACATATGAGAAATTACTTTCTCTGTTAAATCTAAATTAATATGGCCTTTTGTACCAAATAGTTAACAAAATATACAGGGTGACTCACAAAAGAACTAATCTCTAAATAAAAAAGAAAACAAAAATATTATAACAAAAGAGATATTGCTTTCTCTTTTAAATCGCTATGAATTTTATCACAGCTGGGGGTCATTTTATCACAACTGATATGCGTCAGTTATATATGGATCGGAAGACAACAAAGGATTATGTAAAGTGTCTTCATTTGCAAAAGTTCTTGAACGGCATTCTCTATATTTCCGAAAGTATTTATTCCTAGACTCTGAGGCCTCTTCAGACAGATGCCCTATCGGAAACCAAAATTGCTGATGATTTTTGCTCCGTGTATCAAAATTTTGTGTAGAGAAGATGGCATGTAATACCATCTATAAAGGTTAACTCTTCTGCAGTCTCTTTGCAAATTTATTAAACTTTTCGGCATTTATTTTTTTTTCCTGAAACCAAAACTTGGAGTAATGTATATAGTCTTTCCAGCAATCAATTCATCGATTCCTGTTATTTGTTATGACTTTTCGAAGTTTCGGAAAAATCTTCTCGCAGTGTTTCCATCGTTAGTTGTACCCTATCCCTGTTTAACGACATCGACTATCAAACCCATTTCCTCCCTAAATCTAAAATAAAATTGCAAATATATTCTGCAAAGCAACGCGTGATGCGCGTCCACGGCAAACTCGACAAATTGCCGAATACCAATTCAATTGCCGAATACCGAATACCAAAACGAAAACATTTCTGGGCCTTTCAACCTATATGCCTTATGTATTGTAGTGTAATTCAGTCCCACTCCAATGTTCTTCGACGAATATACTTACCTATATCGGCAAATTACAAATTGTTTGATGGTGCACTGTACGTGCCTTGCATAAATTCAAGGATTTTGACATTAAAAACATTATATTTTTTGCAGTGGCACTTTGGGGCAGCCAATTTTTTTATATGTTCTAGTAAAGGTGGCTCTTTACATTGCACGTAATATCTCCACTTACATCCGCTTACATTTTTTTGTAATTCAAGAAAACTTTATATTTTTAAGTCTTAATGACATAAATAAAAAACAAATGAGTTTTTCACTTCTGGTGTGATTTTTTTTAAATTTAACAATCCAATACTATAGCCCAAGAACGCTTCTAATAAGTCGTTATATATAACAAACGAATATCTTTTACATCCATTTTAAAATTACAATCAAATGTAAGACTCTTTATCTACCAATTTGAATGATTTTTCAATTTACTTCAAATGGTGCTCATATGCTCAATAAGTAAATAACAAACAGACATACTGTATATGTTTTACAAGACTAGAATATCTCTTTAACACAAATATGTAAAAAAATATTTAAATTTGGAATTCTTCAAAAACAGCCAATGTCCCTATCTTCCTATGCTTCGATCCATTGTGCGCCGGCGCGTCCCCGCCTCCCGAGGCGGTCTAAGGGCGTCCCTGCGCAGCGTCTGTGTAGCCGGCGTCGGCTCCTTACTTCAATGACACACGGTATCTCCTCGACGTCGGCCGCTGAGCGTATCCTGGCCTGCACTACAACGGTTTTAAAACAGGGTCTACATAATGCGAAAAACTCTTCGAAACATCAAGGTAGCATTCGTCGCCCATCTTTGACGCATTTCGATTTATTTCCAGTTGTTTTGACCCACTTCGGTTGGCCTCGCCTACTTTCGATTCTTAAAAGCGCCTGAAAACTACTCGTGAGGACGGCGGCGCCGGCGTGGGGGGATTTTTTTGGCGTTTTTTGTTGCCTTGTTCAATTTTGTTTTGTTTTGAGCTATTTCCAAAACGTGGCGGTATCGTTAATTACATCTCGTTTTATTTTATATTGATATATATTCCACAGAATTAATATTTGAACACGCGTTTATTATATGTATAGGAGATATTTAGGAATAAAACTAAAAACCTAACCTAACTGCAGGAATATAATTACAATATTTTTATGATTTAATTTTATTAAAATGAATTAGTATATAAAATTGTATATGATAGATTTGTTTACGGCCTTAATTGATTAATATAACAGTAGTATAGTGCTTGATGAGTAATACTGTAATATTATCAATATGTATAGCCGCTTGAGAAAATTATTAATTAACCCGATGTCAACAAAAGTATGGTCCACGGACATTATTTAAAGCAATGTTCTTTTATTGTTATTAAAAGAAATCTGTAAACGATACTTTTATTAAGCACCCAGCATGGCTCGATATAAAACCTTAAAAATCAATAAAAAAACTACTTATGGCTATACAATAATAATAATAATTAAAAATACAATAAAAACTGATGCCTATGATTTAATTTATATATGTCTTTTATTGTTTTTATAGAAACTTTAAGAAAATATCCTTTAGTTCCAACCATATCAAGAGTTTGTACTAAGGCTTATAAAGTACCAGGAAGCGATCTAACTATAGATAAAGGTATAATATGTATAGAGTTTATATAATATATTAAAATATAATAAAAGCAAATGAGAATGGTATACGTTTTTTTAATTTTATAGGAACGGTAGTAAAAATATCTGCCATGGGTTTACATATGGATGCAGAGTATTACAGAAATCCAGAAGTTTTTAATCCTGACAGATTTGATGGCGACGGTGATATCAAAAAGCCTGATTTTACATTTTTACCTTTTGGGGAAGGTCCAAGGATATGCATAGGTAATTGGCAATATATTTCTGTAATCGGGAAACTTCGGTATCATATTCTGCAAATAAAAATAAGTAAGAAAGTTCGTATAAATTTCTGTCCTAAAATGCTTAGTTTGGGAGGTGTACAGGGTGGGTCAAATTCGACGCTTTTAAATGGAAACACCCTTTTCTATAGGAGATAGACAAAAACTAATATCGGTGTCTGGAGCTCAATTTTTGTCAAAAACATGATGGTGAAACCCGCATATCGATATCTGTTACCGTTTCGGAGTTACGGGGTGTTTTTCAAAAATATGCATTTTTAACAAATCGCTTAACTTTTTAGCTATGGAAAATTTTGTATTTTTATGAAAACATTTCCAAAGCACCTTTTTACGTAGAATTTAACGGTTTAAGTATATTTTTTTTAAAATTAATAATTTAAGAATTATCAACAGAAAATTTGATTTTTTATATGGGACACCCTGTATATTTTTAATTTATTGAAAATAACTTAAAATTACCTTTCCAAAAATATAACACACTTGATATTTTGCGATCTATCGAGTACTCTTCGAGATATAGAGTATATAAAAATTCGCCCGATTTAAAAAATAAGTAGGTTTTGAACGGCACCGGCTGTAATGTAAAATGGCTGTAAAACGAAAATAATATTTGCTATGAGAGATGCAGAATTTTATAACAATTTAAAATATATTTAACCAACATCAACACATTTAAACTATATCTAATAACAATAAAATTAATAAAAAAAATGGCAAACCAAGACATGAAATTTTGCTACAGGTGTTCGACATATTTGAACATTTCTCGCTGAATTCATTAATTCAGTTGGGGTAAAAGATACCCTCTCATAACTGCTAAGTAGTTATAATTCTTGTCTAGATTATACGGAAGAATAAGGAACCTTTATTCTTCCGCAAATATATCCATAGGATTAGATCCATGGGCATTAAGTCAGGCGGCTTCGACGGCCAACGGCTGGGATCTTGGTTAGCTTTCAATTATTCTTGAAATTGGCTGCAAAATTTGCTGATAACTTCAGCGTTCGGAGGCGGTGCGTCGTCTTGCTGGAAAATATGTTTTCGAGTTCCATTAAGGGCATACCATCAATAAGTGGTCCAAAGCCTACTAGTTAAAACTAGAGAACTTTTAAAAATTCTGTATTTCGAAGGGAATTAAAGCAAAATATCAAGTGTGCTATATTTTTGAAAAGGTAATTTTAAATTCTTTTCAGTTAGTTAAAAATATAGAGGGTGTCCCAAATAAAAAATCAATTTTTCTGTTGATAACTCTTAAATTATTAGTTTAAAAAAAATTATACTTAAACCATTAAATTCTACATAAAAAGGTGCTTTGGAAATGTTTTCATAGAAATACAAAATTTTCCATAGCAAAAAAGTTACAGCGATTTGTTAGAAATGCACATTTTTGAAAAACACCCCCGTAACTCCGAGACGGTAACAGATATTGATGTGCGGTTTTCACCATCATGTTTTTGATGAAAATTCAGCTCCAGACACCGATATTAGTTTTCGTCTATCTCCTATAGAAAAGGGTGTTTCCATTTAAAAGCGTCGAATTTGACCCACCCTGTACAACTTACAGGGTGTAGAAATTTCATTTTTATTTCGATTTTTTTTAAATAGTTTCTGAACTAACGTCAATTATTTGGATGATAATTCTTCCGTTCCTGTATAAACTTCATCAGTGAAAAAATACACATTTCCGCCCTTTTTACGTAAAACATGTCTCTTGTGAAAATTCCTTACGAGTTATGCATATATAAAAGGCTTATGAGTTACAGCGCTTTCAGATGGAGCGGACCGTCCGCGACTTCGAGCAAGTACCATAAGTTTATATGAACAATTTCACATGGGTCGCGTATGCTCCGTCCGGATGATTTCGTCCGACGGCTATCTTGAAAAAACACGCGGACGAACAGCGCGGAACCTCCGCGACTTCGAGCGGGTACCATTATTACTCTTGAAACCCGTTAAAAATATGTAGCGCCCCCTTAGTCATATTGATATCGAAATCAAATTTCTCCTGTGAAAAAACACTCAGACACCATTTTTTTTTTAAATATCGACTTGGTTCAGAAATTATTTGAAAAAAATTGAAATAAAAACGAAAGTTCTACACCCTATCTCCGAAACGAAGCATTTTAGGATTTATACGGACTTTTTTGCTTATTTTTATCTGCAGAATATGCTGCCGAAGTTTCCCGAATACAATTCGGACCACCCTGTATAGTAGAATTCGCAAGTTCTATTCGCCAATGTTCGCAATTATTCTTCGTTTCGATTATGGAGGATAGTGCCTAGACGTATAGAAGGTAGAATTTAAAAATAAAATAATATACAGGGTGTCCCCTTTTAAAAAAATGCAATTTTGATATTTTTATTTGGGACGTTCTGTATCTTGTAAAAATATGTTTAAATTGTAGCTCTAATAGTCCTTCAACGAACCCAAAACTTCCAATTTATAAAAACCTAATCGCTACATTACTCCGTGTCGTAAGAGATGAATAACCCTGTATACGTGAATAAGTTATTCTTACAATATGAAATGCAGATATGAATTTGTTTTAACACAAATATTTGTAATTGGTTAATTAGTTTATGAATTGATAAACATAGGAACATAAGTACTTTCTATAGCGGCTTTCACTCCTTTTTATTCGCACACATACGTCAACTCATTTGAGGTGATATTAATTTTAATTAGTTTATATCAAGTAGAATCAAAATTATTATGCATGATACTTTATTATTGAGATTTAGAATAAGGAAGAGAGTGAGTATTATTTCTTCTGAATAAAAATGACTTTGTTGAATATTATTAGTGTTTTAATAAATGCAACCTTAAAATATTCTTAAACTTTTTGTTTTGACGTCAGAAGCAATTATATCTAGGCTGGATGTTACTAGAATTCCAGACACCCATCCAAAGCCTCCCTTGCTTCCTAAAATTTTTACCACTGTACCGTCAGGCTTGAAAACTTGAATCTGGAATATAATTACCATATTAAAGATTTTTTTGAACTAAACTAGAAAAACATTTAGGGAGTGTTTTACTTACTCTAGCATTTCCAGCATCCCCAACCAAAACAAAACCTAAGCTATCTACTGCTACTACTTCAGCTGATCTAAACTGCCCTGGATTTTTTCCAAACGATCCAAATTCTTGCAAAAGATCCCCATTGACATTAAAAGTTTTTACCCTATTGTTTCCCGAGTCTGCAATAATTATTTTATCTCCATAAACAGCTACGCTTGTTGGAAAATTAAGATGGGTTACGCCGTTTTGGACACCTATAGTTCCAACTTTTTCACCAGTACTGGGATCTACAAGTAGGACTCTATCGTTACCACAGTCGCATATGATCAGTTCGTCATTTGGACCCATTGCTATAGAGAGAAAATCAAAATCAAAAACTGAGAAGCCTTAAAATATACAATATACGAAAATATACAGGGTAGACGGGCCAAAATTTTCAGGCCCGACCCGAACAGCTCGAAATAACAACAAGAATAGCTATGACAGTAAATTTATTTTATTCTTGGCTGTTTACGATTTATTGAAGACGATAGTAGTGCAAAAAAAAACAAGCCAAAATCCAAACCAACACCGCGTCGTGGCACATTTAACCTTTATCCATAACCGTTACACAAAATATTAAAGATGTTCTGTTTACAAAATAAAAAAAAATGTGTGTGCACTATGTGCGCATATTTGAAATGAAACTTCTTACATTAAAAATAGAAAGTCGCTTTTCTGTAAAGTATTTTACTATAAACTAACCTATTCCATCCGGACCATGCAATCTGAGATTTCCTATATTACGCAGATATTCTCCAGATTTAGAGAAAACGTGGATGCAATGTTTCCATTTGTCAGACACAAAGATTTCCTTGCGTTTTGGACAAAATGTAATGCCAGCAGGACATGACATCTCAGGCGTGCTAATCCTATATTCGTAGAAGAAATTTATTTTTTTGTTAAAATTATATTTTTCAATAGTAAATGATTAATACAGCCAAATAAAGTCAGTCCGATGAGACAGACAAAAATTCGACAGACGACATTCACAACCAAAAAATGACAGAATATTCAAATTATCTGTGAAATAAAACTGCAGACCTATACAGGGTGTCAAAAATAGTGTATCTAACTTCGGTGGGTGAATCTACAGATAAAAATAAAACAAAAAAGTTCCTGTCAACATATATGCTGTAAAATGCTTCCCGAAGAAATTACAGCCTTCGAAAGGTTAAATAAAAATAATATATTTTGTTGATTTTTAAGAACATCGGTAAACCGTTTTTCTTGAAATTTGGTCCTCTTAGACACATTTTAATGCCAAAATGAATGGCGATAGTGTAAAATTCCGTAACAGCCCTGAAAGGGTACTTTCCATTAGGGTAGAGAGTACTACTGGTGGTTATTTTTTTTTAAATTTTTTTATAGAGGTAGGAAAATACATTGGCGTATCTCAGAGCCAGATGTTTGGCCTGGTATGTCGGACTCAGGTTTCAATACCGAGTAAAAACCTCCCCTTTCTCCGGTCTCTTCCCTCCCCGGCGAAACCGCCGTTAGGCATTACTTCGCAGGGAGGGGATCTAGCTATTGCTCTTCCTTCCATTAATTGAATTCAATGCTTCTCTTCCTCTAAGCGTTCTTTTTGCTGGCTCGTTTCCTCTCTGTAGAACGCAGATATTGGAGCACTTTCGTTGCGAAAGTATTGGTCGCATTCCAGGATACCTTCGAAGAAAGCATTGCATCAATTAGTGTTTCTGGTTGAAATGCCTGTTCGAACTAGCCTCCAGATGATTACGCATTAAGTTTAAACGTGGGCATACAAAGAACACGTGCTCCGCGTCTTCAGGAGCTTCTGGACAGGACGGGTACTCCGGGAATCATCGAGTTTAAAACGATGAAGATATGCTCGGAAGTAACCATGTCCTGAGATCATCTGTGTCAGGTAGTAATTGATTATGCCAGGTAGTAATTGAATTGCACTCTTCTGAGTGCGTGCATCAGGGCTCAATGCTGACAATCCCCTTCGTCGATAAAGGACTTGCCGCTCTTCGGCTAGAATTCCAATAGGAAGCATTCCAGCGATAACGCACACCGCATCCTCAGACAACGTGCGGAAGGCACTAGCTACCAGCTACTATCAGGGCACTCGGCACAGGCACTCGGTGTCAGCCCAAATATAAATTCCATAAGTCAGTACCGATGTGACTACTGACGACAGCAGTGACCTCCCGATTTGTTTCGGGCCTCCAACATTCGGCATCAGCTGTGATAGGCTCAACTACTGAACTCAACTACTGACGCTTTGGTACATACATTCGCTGCTTAAAATTTAGCCTGGCATCAAGCATCACTCCCAAATATCGAATGAACGGTTGTGAAGTGATCTCCTGCTCTCCGATTTCCAGTCTGGTGGTTTCAATTTAACCTTCTTTCTACTAGTGATGAGCACTGCCTCGGTGTTGTGTTCAGCTAGTTGCAGTTTCACCGTATTTATGCATTGGCTGATCCTCTGGAAAATGATGTCAAAGTCTAGATTAACGATCTTCTAGATGCTTCGCAACGATCACTATGACCAGGTCATCTGCATACGCCACCAGTTTGACATTCCCCGGCCGTAGCAGCTTAAGTAGTCCATCGTACATAAAATTCCATAAAAGCGGTCCCAAGACCTACTACTGGTGGTGCTTCTTTTATCCTTATAGATACAGTTATTTCAACAAATGGAAATTAAAGCTAGTACTTTTTATGTAAAAAGGTGCTTTTTGTTTAGTTCGAAACGAATTTTAGCATTAGCGAAATCAGGAGATGAATAATTTATTAAAAATTTCTAAAAATACTAAAATCGATGCATCGCAATCTTTAAACGCATATATCTTGAAAACCGTTCAACTTTTCGAACTGAACGAAGAGTACCTGTTTTACATAAAAAAGTTCTAGCTCTTTATATAATTTGTTGAAATTCCTGTATCTATAAGGATAAAATAAGTACCACCAGTAGTACCCTCTACCCTAATGGAAAGTACGCTTTCAGGGCTATTTTACTCTATCGCCATTCGCTTTGGCATTAAAATGTGTGTAAGAGTACCAAATTTGAAGAAGAATGGTTTACCAATGTTCTTAAAAATAAACAAAATATAAAATAAAAGATTTTTATTTATCTTTTCGAGGGCTGTAACTTCCTCGGGAAACATTTTAGGGGATATGTTTATAGGAACTTTTTGTTTCATTTTTATCTGTAGAATCACCTACCAAAGTTAGATACACTATTTTTTGACACCCTGTCAGGACCCTCTCGTTAGACAGACTTTATCATACCTAGTTACTAGTTTGAACTTGTTCCTGTCAACTACGAGAACGTCATGGCTATCTGTCGCAGCTATAAACAATTTAGAATCATCCCAAGGAGGAATTCCTAATCCAGCTGGCCTTGGACATTTATTCCATAATAATTTTGGCGAAAACGATCTAGAAATAGAATCAGATGCATTTGCTTTGTATGTTGAGTGCGGTAAGTCGAAATTACCTAGATTTGTAATGTTTAGCCATTGATTCTATACTTTCCAATGGATCGGAGATCTGGAATAAATGTTGCTGACCATCCTCAATATCGTTGTATATACCTTCCGATATTTGTTCCAATTTGAAAGTCTCGGGATCAAAATTAATTCGGGCCTCACCGAAATAATTGATTTGATCAAGAAGTTTGGAAGTGTGATTGTGTAAATTCAGGTAAGTCGTAACCTTTAAAAAATATAATGTATGTAGAAAATTGGTCACTTTTAAAGGCAAACTCCCCTTTCTAAAAAGATAGACGAAAACTAATGTCGGAGGTTGGGGCTCAATTTTCATAAAAAATATATTTTTAGTATTTTTCGAATATATGCATTTAAAAAAATCGCTATTACTTTTTATCGAGCTTTTAATCTATGAATTTTTTTTTGAAGAAAAAATCTTTATTAAACCAACAAACTTTTTATTATTTCTATGAAAACTTTTCGAAAGCATCTTTTTACGTAGAATTTGTGGGGACACGGAGAGGCCTCCAAGCAAAGCTTACACACATGAAATTTTATTTAACTGGTTCTTTTCAATCGCAGAAGCGGTTGTCATGTCCGATATGAAAAAAACAGGTCCCATTTAAGACCAAAACTGAGGATAATGGGTTGTAGTTAAACACTGAACGCTTTTCACCCAGTAAAGAAGCACTTCTTCAAACTATGTGTGGAGCGATATAACTGTGACGTTTTGTGCACAGAGGCATTACTCAACGAAGACCTCTGTTTCGCTAACAGAGGAAAAAACATAGAAATTTTAACGATGGAGCAGTAGTTGCGCAGTATTCACCAGAAAGCAAAGTCTAAAAAACTTGAAAAGAATCCATATAGATGGAAAGGAAATACTGCCGCTTCAGGCCGAAAGGAAATAATGCCGCCATCACAGGGAAGTCAAATACTTGGGAATAACCCGGGACAGTAAACTTCTCTGGAACAGGCATATTAAGAACATTACCAACAAAGCCACAAAGGCTCTCATGTTATGCAGAAAATTGGCGGGAAATAGATGGAGCTGCGCCCCTAACATTTTGCGCTGGATGTATACCATAATAGTAAGAACCATGATTACCTATGGAGCAGTTATTTGGTTCACACAACTATAGCAACGTACATCAAGGCAAAACCTGTGCAAAGTACAGAGACTGGCATGCATCTGCATCACAGGTGCCATGAGAACATGCCCAACAGCAGCAATGGAGGTCATCCTAGACCTAACAGCACTGCACATTGTCGTCGGTAGTCGGTAGTTATGCCAATGCGACAATGAATAGAATGGTCATTGACTGAAACAGTACTGGAATAATTTTCAAGTCAGGGGCTTGGAACACTACGTATTTTTAGAATTAAAATAGGATTCATTCATTGGACACAATTTACCTCTATACAAAAGTACTTCGTTTGTCCGTTGGAGGGATCAAACATTAAATTTGTTGTCGATGGAGTTGGAAAATATTTATACTGAAATTTATGTAGGAGTGGGGGTAGTTTTCAACCTAGTCCTACTTTTTCTTGAATTTTGTGAAAGCCAAATGTTAAAGCACTTAGCAATACATAGACACCAAAATCTCATTCAAATCGGAATAACTGTTCTTAAAATATCTGAAAAAATGTGTTTATTTTTTTAAAGTTTGATTCCCTCTAGCGGACAAACGAAGCAGTTTTGTATAGAGGTAAATTGTGTCCAATGAACTTATTTTGATTCCAAAAATACGTAGTAGTTCTATGTCCACGGAATATCGGAACACCCTGTATATCACAAAGAAAATGAGAAAATACCTTTATTAAAATAGACAAAACAAAGTAACATTCACATTTAGTAATTAAAAAAATCAATTCTTGTTGAAAAAATAATAAAATATAGCAAACTCGGAAATATACATAACTTTTAGATATTGACGTTCTGCTTAGTATAAATAAAATATGATCTTTGAAACATTAAAGTTTATAAATTCGAATCCTTTTAGATTGCATTTAATTTTTTCGAGATTTTTAGGATCCCGGGATTTAATATCGGGATTTTGGGATCAAGCATACACCGGGAATTGGAAACCCTAGTTGTAAGAAAAGAAAGGAAACAAGAAAAAAATTCAAATAATAATTAAAAGATTACGATATATTGGTGACTTAATTCATTCAGATGTAGCTGGCCCATTAGATCCATCATCAAAAGCAGTTTATAGATATTACCCACAGGTATTAATAGATGTTTTTACATTTAATCATAGTAAAGTTGTTGAAACTAAACAGTGAATCTGCGCAGCACGTATTGGATATTATGAAACTGATAAAGACTCAACATGTACAGAAAACTAAGAAAGTATATAAGATGTGATCATGTGGGTGAATATTATCAGACTATTTTAAAAGGTATAAAAATGGAGTATCTGCACTATTTTATATACCTGAGAGCAAAATGACATTTTGCAGAGAATGAACAAAACCCTAATGGATAAAATGAGAACAAAATTTGTTGAGGCAGTTACCAAAACATTTATGAGATGAAGCTGTAATGTCCATTCTGCCATCTGCCTATGAATTCATGGCTTTAATAAGTTAACAAAGTGTGAATTGTTGAGGTAATACCGTATATGATCCCGTGATATATGAAAAGAAAAACAGCGTCCTGTTGACTTGGAAATGACGATCGATAACATTCCCCATATAATTTTACATACAAAATGATAGTGATCTGTATCGACCCTGTGGTATTTTTATGTAGAAAAGACTAAAAGGTGTTAATTGTTGTTGTCGTGTTGACAGATTCTAGACTAATGAAAATTTTACTGTTTTTGTAATCATAGATAAAACACACAATAGATCTGTAAGGTCGCGGTTACTAAAGCTTGATTTTCATGCATCCGTTGTCCGACGATACGATGATACGATATTAATTTTATTGGTTGAATTGAAAGACTTTGATTGGTTAGAAACAGTTAACCAATCGTAGTCTTTAAAATCAACCAATAAAATTAATATTGTACCATCGTATCGTCGGACAACGGATGCATGAAAATCAAGCTTAACTCCCCTCATAAACATTCTAAAAAAGCATAGATAAAGGAAATAAATTTAGATTGGAATTCCCGTCAACATTTTGGGTCGCGACCGTTGTACAATACGCGATATTATTGCTATCTTGTGAGTTTAATTTAAATTTTATTTACTCAAACCCGTGATAATTGTGAAAAACTGGCATTAAAAACTTAAAAATCTATTCTGTGAATTGTGAACTGCAAAAACTATCGTGGATCGTAGTATAACGTCGGTTTCCAATGTTTCATAGGTATTTCATACATGTCCTTATATAAGATAAGTAGTAAGTAAGTAATAAGTTTCTTGTATGCAACACACTGTATTTTATTTAGAAAATTAAAATAAAATAATAATAAATTTGAATAAATAATATTTGACGATATAATTCCGGAAAAAGCCGAACCGCTCCGAAATTTTCAATAGCTTTGGATCGCGACCTTTACAAGAATAACGCCAAACAGTGTTTACATTGTCCTTATGGGCACTTTCCAATCTAAACTTGTTTCATTTATCTATGTTTGTAATTTGTAAATGTTGCTGAATAAATCAGATAAAGCAAGTCTGTGTTCTGTGTTGTATTAAGAAGACATCAACACAAGTAACAATCGGGACAAATCTCGACAAAAAGCATCGCATTTGAATATTGGAATGTCCGTCGTCCATCATAATAGCCAAGTATTTTGAACACCCTGTAAATTTTATTGTTTTTTTTTCTATTTTAAAATTCAACTTACCTTTTGAGTGTTATTTCTGGATTTGGACTTAGACTTTATATCTTCTTTAAGACTATGTATTCCATCTGAAAGTACGTCTGAAGCTACTTTACCTTCTTTTTTAATTCCTTCAACTTCTTTGAGTGTTTGCTGTTCGATACTACAGTAAAAATATTTTTTTAATATAACACCGAATGATCGAAAAAAGGTAATTTTCTGTGACTTTTCTCGTTCAATCACACAGTCTATATTTTCAGCAGAAAATTGAAAAATATGTATAACGTCAGTGACTAAAGAATACAAGAACTCGTAACGCGCATATACAGTCTGGAGCAAAATTTGTGATGTCCGACGTCATTTCTGGCGATTATTAATAGTTTGTTGTTTGTAGTGAACTTTGTATAAACTTTATTACAATGGTGATTTGTTCAGCTTTCAAGTGTAAAAACTGCAACGATCAGAAATAGCCAGGAATTACGTTCTCATTGAATTTCATAATTATTTTTTTAATATTATATTACGATATGGCCTAACATATTAATCCATACTAGTTTTGTACCTTTTGTGAACCTTTTAATACGTTTTTTACGTTAAAGAAGCAGCATCCACCATAGGCGTAGGTGTAAAAATTATCACTATCACACAAAAATATAAATAAATAAAGATTTTTCATAACTAAATAAGTCTAATAAGCGTAACAGTAAGTAATGAATTAAATTTTGTAACCGTCTGAAACAAAAATATTTGCGAAACAATTAAAAACAAATGGTAACAATTTGGTCTCGGGTGTTATTGGTCTTTGTATTATTTAGTCATTGTATAACGTACACTATGGAAAAACTCCACTTAAACACAATTTTAGTGCATTGTTGGCTTTGATTGTTGGAAAACTTCAACAAAAGTAAGTATGTACCTTCTGATTTCTTCTATTTTTTTAACGGTGGCCTTTTTAATTTTCTCTTGCAAGGTATCGCATCTATTTTCGAAATTGTCGAGTTTGTGCTGCAGTTTATCCTCTGATTCGTTCAATTGTTTTATCAACAAATCTAAATTCGACTCTAGTTCCGCTAAATGCTCGTTCCAACAAATATTACAAAATATCTAAAAGATAATAATAAATAATTAAGAAATATCATAACAAAAGACGTTGTCAGGGTGTAAAAACATAGTAAAGCGCATTTCATCTCGCCGTGGTGACGATACTTATACTGGGTACGTCACAAACGTGGCTCACCCCTATAACTTTTTTATTTTTTCAGATAAAAAAACGAGATTTGGTATGTCAGTATATGACATAATTTAGGATTGATTGGTGTATTCAATTGTTTTTGGTCACTTCCTGTTTCAACGGAAATGACTACAACTTTTGATTTTATTAAATGACACCCTCGGTATTTGTTTACTTTATTTGATAGAAAATGACATTCTGGATAGAATGTCATATCATTTGTCAATTTTTGACATTCTCGCTTAATAAAAAATTGTATTTTAAAATTCAATCTAGAGTGCCATGGCTATGTTAAAAACACTAATTCTTCATCAAGGAACCTTGAAAAAATAGATTTGATGGTCTAATGTTTTTAGTGCCTTATCCTGACCAGTTAGAAAATTCTCAAATCGTATTTTTAATCATATCTCAATTTTTTCAAATGGAACGAGGGTGGTTCATTAGCATATTTAGAAAGAAACATTTTTTACGAATAAGTTGGTATTTCAAGTCAAATTTTCGTTACGAACCGCAAGTTATAATTTTAAATAAACCATATGCGAAAATGTTAAAAGTTGACATATGATATGTCATTCTATTCAGAGTGATATTTTCTATCGAATAAAGTAAAAAAAATACCGAGGGTGCCATTTAAAAATTAAAAGTTGTAATCATTTCCGGTGAAACAGGAAGTGACCGAAAACAACTTTTGAGACGCACCCGGTATATTTTTAATTTTGTCCTACAATGTATAAAGTATCGCGTATACCATATTAATTAATAATCATTATTGACAATAGTGGGTGCGTCCCAAAAGTGGCTCACTCCTATAACTTTTTTTTATTTTTTTCAGATAAAAAAACGAGATTTGGTATGTTAGTATATGACATAAATTAGGATTGATAGATGTATTCAATTCTTTTCGGCCACTCCCTGTTTCACCAGAAATGACTAAAATAAATATAATATAATATAAGAAATCCAGTGTGTGAATAAACACAGGAAAAACATTTATTTCTATTTTTTCAAGTTATAAGCATAATTTGCCGTGTGTGCGGCGCGGCGAGGTGAAATGCTCCAACCCTTAGGCATATAAGTAATATCGTTGATTGAAAGAATTGGGAAGATACGCAACCAATACAAGGGCGAATTCGTGACAAGGCTGATTTGATTTCCCCTTACGTCTCAAGTGCTCTACGGTGGAGACACCAACCGTTATCTAGACCACAACATTGAAGACGGTGTGGATCTGAAAGACAGAGTTGCCATACTAAAATGTGTAATATCTGTAATACGTTTGACCAAAATATCTTTGGATGAAAAATCACTGAATACTACTGGTATTGAACATGTCGTATGATCGAAAAAAATCGTTGACGATCATTAACATTGATCATAATATTTTGCACGTGAAATAACAGCGATCTTCCTTTTCAAGCCAACTCTGACGCCGTTCTTTGTTTAATCATATAATTGTATGTTAAATTGTTTAATGATAGAAAATCCGTATTATTAACGTACTGTACCCGAAATTCGTAAATCTATTAAATTATAATCTATTCTCTGTCTCCGGCAACCACTCACTCTCTCGATTGAAGGCAGAACTACGGTACAATATCCTTTATCCGGTGCGCTGTAAGCGACTATCAGTGCGCAGAGCTAAACTAAATCTCGGAATTCTCGGACAGGCTGACAGTAACGCCAGCTACATCTCGGACAGGTTTTGTGCCACGAAATTGCCCACAAGGTTGCGCATCTTCTTATTATTTCAATCAACTGTAATATGCTCCTAGATGCCCTTAGGTATATTTTTTTTTCGGTAGATCACCTGCATGCAGTGTTGACAAACTTGTTCTTGTTGCTTGGATATGGTTTGACAACTAACGCAACGATACGTTTCTGTTTGAGTTTGAGGTACAGAATTTCCCTCAACAACTTTTAACAAGGATTGTAAATAAAGGTTTCTGGGAAGTTGTTCTATCGAGTCCAATCCTTTTTCTAGAATAACGTTTCTCTGGCATACAGGACATACCATCGACTTTATCTCGGATTCTACAGTAAATTTTGGACTCCTAAAAACAAAAATAATCTGTCAGATGAGCCCTATATTAACATTATTTACTTGTTTACCCCTTTGAGGTGCTATTTGGGGAGTTTGGTTTTCCTCCTATTTCTAGTTTTAGATTTCTGGCTGTAACGTGCGTTTTAAGGCAGCTAAGGCAAAATGTATGCTGACAGGGTAACATTCTAGGGCTAGACAGTCTTTCTAGGCATATTCCGCATTGTAGTAATTCACCCAGTGCATTAAATGGCTCTGACGTACTATACACAAGTTGAAAGTAAAAAATTGGCTTAAATACAACATATTTTTAAATTTAATGAAACATATAATTATCAAACACCCTGTATAATAGTATGTTAAACGCTATGTTTTTTTTTCTTTAAACAAGGATTACTAAGAAAATGTATTTATTATTTTATTTATTTGACAGGCACTTGAATCTTTTTTAATGTATATCTTAATCCATATTTATCTAAAGCAATTCAATCAAGATAATATTTAGTGTTTTCTATTTTTTTCTACATATTTTTCAATTATGCATATTTCTTTCTAAAAAGATACTGTCAGCTAAGATTGATTTTATCATTTTGATGTATATTTGAAAGAAAAATATTTTAGATTATCAGATTTTTTTACTACATACACATTTTATGAGAAATATTATACTTACATAGGATTAACACTCACAGGAGAACTAGAAGTATTTCCAGATGAAATAGAATTGTTTTTTGCAATGTGAAGTTTTAGATTTACCGCCGCTTTTTTAAAGCGCCTTTCTTTTTGCCCTTGTATGAACTCATTGCTGGTAGTCAAGGAAACTGGACTACGTATGACGTCACTCATTGTTAAGTAAACTTGTGTTGTGTTAAGTAAAATTGTGTTACACCACCGATTGAATCAAAAGTTTTAACAAACATGAATAGATTATCTAGTGTTTGAAAGATTTATAATTTTTGCTTATCACATAATCCTTCGATTAATACGATAGGTACTTATAATTTATCGACTTGTTTTTTGAAATATCTATCCAAAATCTATCGATAATTATAAAAAATATCGATGTATTTTATACATTCCTATATAAAAGTCGTTACAGAAAATTGTATTTTCTGTCATGTTTTGGGTGTCGTCCGTCGAAATTTTCTCTGACTCATTGGATAAACTATAGCAAGGTTATTGAATAAACAGTGATGGACAAACACCCGGTATATTGAAATTTGTGTAAATACCCAAGGTCTTGCACCCGGTACCTATATACCCAAGAACTCAAGTATATATACTTACTTTCTTAATTTAAGATGCATGAATGAATCAGTCAAAGAATGCAAGTAGCCAATAAATTCTATCAAAAAAACATCACAACTGCCGACGCGCGACAGTGCAATTCCCTAATTTTATAATATACCACTACATACAACAGTTATACTTAAAAACTTGACCCAAGAGATCTTTAAGGTCGCGGTGATTACCCCCCCCCCTCTTCGCACATTCAACATTCTACACATGCATTCTACGAAGAGTACGAAGAAACTTGAAAAAATACACAGTTATAGAACCTTTTACTCTACATTTATTTGTAGTAAGAATAAAAAGGCTAGTTATAAAATGGACCTTTAAAAACAAGATTTATCTTTACCATTAGTCACAGATTAACTTAGATATTACCTGGATATAAATCCAGATAATGTTATCTATTTGGGATATAAGTAAAAATGGGGAATTTAAAAAAAAAAGTTTCAAGTTTCAAAAGTTTATCGCACGGATGGTTGGCATCTCGTCACGCTCAGTGATGAGGTGTTCTGGTGTTTCCCCTTTTTCCCTACAAAATCTGCATTTTCCGTTGTTTCTTAGGTTCGCTCTACTGAGATGTCCATTGAGGAGGTCTTCTGGTCTAGTTAGCGGAGTGTTTCCTCCTTTTCTAGCAAGATCATTTGCTTTTTCAATACCTTTTTCTATACCGTATTTTATTGTAGTATGATCGTTATTACTTTATTTTCTTAGCCTAATTTGTTCAGCTTCGCTAGGCATTCTTTGACCAACTTCGAATTGATTGTTACTGAGTTGATCGCTTTTAAGGCTGCTATCGGTTAAGATGGCTATTTCTTGTTTCCGATAATTCCTATATAATCTTAGATAAGTTGTAAGCATTTTTCGATAGCGTAGATTTCTGTCTGAAGGATGTTGGGATAGGTGCCCATATTGGTTGGGAGTATTTAATTTTCAGCCCAAATATCCCTATTCCTGCTTTGGTTTTGGAAGCATCGGTATCGGTATACCACGTTATGGTATTTTAGTTGCTGAGGAAGCGTTTCTTCCTTCCAATTCTTTTTATTGCTCAATACTACAGAGAGGCGTTTCTCAAAGTTCTACGTTCTTGGTATATCATTTACTGGGAGTTGGGGGAGTGGAATTTTCCTTTTGAGGGTGTTCCAAACTCCTGAGCTGATAATTCTTCCAGCACTATTTCTGTCAATGACCATTCTAATCATTGTTATCTACCAATGACAATGTGTGTGCAGTGGTGTTAGGTCTAGAATGGCCTACATTGCTGCTGTTAGGCAGGTTCTCATGGCTCCCATGATGCAGATGTATGTTGCTTTAGTTTTGTCCCAAGCAATAACTGCTCAGTAAGTAATCATGGGATACTTACTATCACGGTATGGTACAGCCAGCGCAAAATGTTAGAGGAGCAGACCCATCTATTTCCCGCCTATCTTCTGCATATCATAAGAGCCTTCGTGGCTTTGCTGGAAATATTCTTAACCTTTAAGCGCTAACGTGTCGTCTCCGTGCGAGACTCCGGTAACTATATTTTATCTTACAACGTAACAACGCAAAACAAGTGCATATTGAGAATGAAAAGAAAAGACTCAAAAAAGTGACTCGTGAAAGGTACCTCCCGAAGATGTGACAACAAAGTTTCGTGTTAGCACTCCCAATTGTTAAATCTAATATTTCCGCCCGCGTTTTTGTCGAGAATGTGGGGGCGTTCCCTACATTGAGAACTTCAAGCTTGTATGGTAAGAGTAGTAGGGTTTCCATAAAGGCTTTTGGAAATTCCGGACAAGTGAACTCAGAAATCCGGACAAGTGAACTCTGAAATCCAGACAAAATCCGGACATCTCAAAAAATAAACTATAAATTTATTTATGAACTAAAGCATTTCTTCCGTAACCCCACGCTTACATTTAGGCATTATTATATACTTTTTTATATCTTAATAATTTTAACATTATTCGTAAAATGTAATATTGCACCATATATTTTATAGTAATTTTTAAGCTGTTGCGAGCATCTAGAATTACTAGAACTAGTCTAGCTTTGTGTAGAGGCGTACTTACCCCGGTTCCGCCTTCCCTGTTGCCGCAACGTGTGCATATACAGGGTGAACCAACGATAGAGTATATAAAGTTCAATATCTATTTTTTGAAAAAATGTTAAATAGAAAAGTTTTAGGGAATAAATGAAATGAAAAATCCAATTTTGTCACTGTGTAACTTATTGTTTTCAAATTCATTAGGTTAAATTTATCATTAATTATTACTATTATAAATACCGTATGATCGAAAAAAAATGGCTTCCAGTTGGCTGGGAAATGACGATCGATGACATTTCCCATATAAATTTAAATATAAAATGACTAAGTAAAATGACAACGATCTTCATTTCATAGCCATCGTTGACGCCGTTTTTTCTCGATCATGCGGTATATAGACAAGGTTATTACATACCCAATCATTACATTCTAAATTGATCGCCTCCTATACATATTTTTATTTATCTGATAAGGACAACGGACAACCCAAGAGAAATTTGTAATTGTTTCGAAAAAACGAGCGGCTCACCTTGTTTCGCGAAACAGTTTCATACGAAAGTTTTGAGAAACGGTTTTGCAAAGCTGTGTAACCAGCCACCGATTGCCGTTGCATGAACAACTAATATTATCGATCCATACAATAGCCCCGGAATCAACAAAATATAAATCAAAAAAAACATTCACTTTCTAGGAGTACACCAAAAGCGAAAAATTTGAGCGCCAAATTATAGAAATGGGTACTTTCGAACATGCGTCGGTTAAGTAAGCTGTAGCATCGTAGACACATAAATATTCAACAAAGTAATTAAGAAATTAATTCAACTGTAACTGTAAAATATTTGTTAAATTGTTTTTGCGGAAGTTCCCCGGACGCGTTTCCAAATCCGGGCCGGACCGTCCCGGACACTCTAGAAATCCGGACATGTCCGGGTAAATCCGGACGTAGCGTAGGAAACCCTAGGTAAGAGGAAATCAAGTAAACACTCACCTCTAGTGTTAGTTCTTTCCCATACCTCATTGTGTGTATTGGAGTCACATCCCAATAATAGAGGTAGTCGCTGTTGGCTACAACTACGAGTTGCTGTATCTACTTCTAGTGGCCGTGTCTCATCAGCCGGAAAGTATGCAGAGGCAGTCACGATATTTTTGCTACAATCCTCCATATTAAGTTGAACTATGATTGGAACAAGATCTCAGGTTGTAAATTCTGAAACTTATGTATAATTAATATTGTTTCTTATAAGAAGAATAGGCTCTGGGAAATTCCTGTCTGTTCATCATATATTACTTTTGAATTTTTTTCAGACAAATCTTTAATTTTCCCTGGTACACTCAGGGTTCCTGGACTACTACCATTAATTTTTATTCTACGACCATTATTTTTTATATTGATTTTTCTCTAAGAGTGGTATGACTGGAAGCCATGACCCAAATTTATATAGGTACTTGGGATAACTCATGCATTACAGGAGGCATTATGACGGATTGGGATATAAATCAGCTGTAGGTATAATAGTATAAATAGAATATTGCGAACGTCATATATATAGATTTTATTCTTCTAAAACACGTTACCACCATATTATTCTTATTTCGAAAAATATAAAAGTATTAAGATATATAAATACTTATCTTGTTACACGAGTTATTACTATTATAGATAACAATCAGATACGTAAAAACAGAAAAAAAAATCTTTAAAATTGCCTAGTTTTAAACTTTCTTTGTCTTTGCTGTTCTTGATCTAATCTTCTTCATCGGTGTTGCCTCCATCACCACCATTTTCTTTTGCCTCTTCGCCTTCGCTGTACACTTGTCCTTCATCGTCCTCTTCATCATCATCGCCAGCGACTTCTGTATTCTCCATTTCTGCTCTTTCCATTTGTTTTGCCAAGTCGGCTTCATCTGTAGCAGTCACCACTTTCGGCTAAAAAAATACTGTTGTAAAATACTTTTCTTTTTCGGAGATTATTTAAACATGTGTACTTACAGACATCTGTATCGTAAAGACACCTCCTAATTCTGTAATTTTTTGCTTGATAACTTCAATAGCTTCATTAAGTATTCTCAAGCCATCTTGTTTTTCTGGTGTCGAAGTTGTCATGACTAGAAAATAATATTTTAATACAATAAAGGTGACTAAACACCAAATGTTAAATTCTAATACCATATAATGGAGGTGCTATTAAATTAATTTTGATAGGCAACTCCTCAGTTGATAGAGAAAGGCCTGTTTTCAAAGCAGTTTTGACTGCATCGATGCCTTCATAGCCATAGCAAGCACATTCAATGTCTGCTCTAATTTTTACAGCTTGAGAAGTTAGTTTACGCTTGATATTGCTGAGAAGAACTTCTTTTGTTTTGTCATCTAGGTCACATTCAGCTAAAATACTAGGGTCACTGAAAAAAAAACATTAAATAATGAAGATTTAAAAGAATGTCAAACTCACGATACAGCTTGTTTAAAATAATCATAAGCTGAAGCCTTATTCTTCTTATACTTCTCTTCGAAATACCAGGCAGTCTTCTCATAAAGCTCTTCCAGTTGTCCATCTGATTCATATTTTAATAGTTCAGCTACATGTCTAAGAATTGAGTTAACTGCCTTTGCTTTTGAATATCTCTCTGTACATTTCTCTAAGTCTTCTGCACTTACTCTTCTTTTAGATAAATCTATATATCCCTTTTCTTTATCTACCCTTATAACTACGACAGGCTCTGTTTTTCCGACTCTTATAAGTTTATTAATAGATCTAATACGTCTTCTAGATAATTCGGAGAGTAAAATCATACCCTCAATGTTTTTGTATTCTAAGAGGTGCACATAGGCACCCATTTCAGCTATGGATCTGACGTTAACCATGACTACAGAATCCACTTCTGGATATTTTTCTTTATAAAATCGACACGAAAGGGGCATTTTTACCTAAAATATGTTCGTTTTTAGGTTATGGTGAGGTTACAAACCTAACAAACGAGAGACTAGCTAATTAAAAAATAAGTAAACCTAAGTCTTATTTTCTTATACGTGCCTTTATATATGTTTTCTATATCTAATGGTAATTAATTATCTGGTGAAATCTGAGAAAAACAAAATCCAAAATTGGATCTTGACAACCACCGGTTTAAAAGTAAAAGAATAAATTGTCAACGTGAGAAATTTTTAGCGAATTTAACCAAATTTAACGCCGCGATAGATGTAAATGATGCTGTTAGGTTGGTACAACTGTAGCATCAAGTGGAACACTGTTGCCAACAATCTCAAAATAAATATTTTAAAAGTATGTGATTCTCTGGTGATTCTACGCTACGGAATCTTTGGCTACGGTGATTTTTAGGTAATTTCTTATGTCTATGGCTATGGCCGCTATGGCATTTAGTTAAGACGCGTCTCATTTAGTTTTTCTATGGTCTATGGCTCCATCCTCTAGAGGTGGGCCAGTCTGCGATTTTTGTGGAGCTGCTACGCTCTGCGACTGCTCCAATAAAAGCACTGTGACAAGTAGCAGCGATTTTTCGGAGCAATTAACCTATAAATTAAAAATGTAGTATTATAGGTTAATTGCTCCGAAAAATCTTTATTCATTTTATTTCCTATGCACATTAACTAACATTACCTCGAAAAATGGAATTGCTTTTTATTTGGTTCAGATCGGTTACTTTATGCCGAAAATTGACCATGTTTGTTTTTCCTCAATCCAATATGGCGTGTGTTGATACTTGAAAAAGCGGGAAAAAGTATTTTCCTCTGAAACTAGCGTTCGGCGAGAAAAATACTTGTATTTTTTGGAAAATTCACTGATAAATTATCAGTAATGAATTTTAATCAGCAAAATTTAGTATGTCGATTTTTAGTTACAGGGAGCTCAAAATTGAGGGGCCATTGTTTTTCCACCCCCTGCAGAAAGATAAATACTTAATCTAAGGATAAATACAACTCCCTAATTTTTTTTTTTGAATATTCTATGTTAAACCGCATTCTTTGTTATTTTAGGTAAATGACAGGAGTGCTACTGAAAATCACACAGATTCTTCTCAGGACTCCCTTGATACCAAGGAAATAAAATCCGCCGAAACAGAAGAAAATAATGTAGATGCAGATGCTCCAGCTGAAAAATCAAAGGAGGAGAGCACCGAGGGAGAATCGGATCATAAACCAGATAAAATTGATAAAAAGAAAGATGTAAATGATACATCTGATGAAGAAACTGTTGAGGATAAAACAATTCAGGAAAATAATGTAGAACCTGTCAATGAGGAAGAAGAAAAATCAGAAGATCCGAAAATAGAGACCAAATCGTCTGAACCAAATGATAAGGCAGATGTTGAAAAAGAAGAGGATGAAAAAGTTAGTGCTGCGAGTGAAAAAACAGAAGAGGAAGAAGAAGATGTTATTGATGGTAAAAAGTTGGGTATCTTTATCTGTAGTTTATTATTTTTTTTATATTCTAGAAGACGATGAAGGTTCTGATAAAGATGAAAAGAGTAGTAATGGTAAGAAAGCAGTACCACTGTTAGATCAGCCATTGGAAACATCAGGAAAAAGAGAAAGAAAAAATGTCCAGCGGTTTGAAGAAGATTTTAAAGCTAATGATAAAGATTCAGTTAGTCCTGAGTATTCTATACATATATCTATGTTATTGTAATTTATATATTTTAGGGTAAATTAGAAATAGACGAGGGATCTGGTACCGCTCTTGGTGAGATACCTAGAATTGAAGCATCTATAGTGCGTTTTAAAAATGAAGATCTGAAGATTCTTCACAGAATCCTGTTTAAAACTGAAGGGAAGACTAGCTTACTGAAGAAAAACATAAAAAAATTTAATGGTTTTGTTTTTAAAAAGGACTCTGATGACTACAAGAAAAAAGTTGATGCATGTAAAAAATTAGAGGTTAGTTTGTTTGTTTCTTTAGAATAGAATACAGTATTTAGGTCTGATTGGTACTAAAAAGTTGGTTTTTCTTATATTTAAAACTTATACCTGTATAAAAATTTAGGTAAAATCTTTGAAGAGTTTATGTGAGATGTTGGATTTGGAAAAGAAGGGGAACAAAGACGATATAACAGAAAGGATACTAGACTTTTTACTGGAACCGAAGGATTCTGGTAAACCTGTCGGTGGTGGAAGGCCAAAAAGAGCTTCAGCAGTTAGGGCCAATAACAGAGGTAATATACCAAAGATTGTGTCCTGTGTTTTTAAACGTTTTTGTAGTTACCAAGGGGAAGCAGTCTGGTTAATTTTCTTAACAAATGTGAGCTTTATATTTTAGGTTTAATACAAACTTTATCTGTAGGGTATTCGTCGCATGATGACTATTCCAGTGATGAGAGACATGCTTCTCGAGCTAGAAGAGATAAAGGTATTACCAAAGTGTAATTCTTCGTAATTTTATGCTTGCCATTTTGCTTGGTACCCCTTCATATTTCTATATGGTAACTTAGATCACCATGGATATTTTAATCTGGCTTTAGAATATACTGGTGACTTAAGGTGTTATATAAGTAATAATTTTGAATATTTTCATATATTATGTGCTTGGTAGCTGTCTCATCGAATGCTTGTCTATAATCAGTAAATATGAACTTTTTTAGGAAAAACTTATTTAGTTTGGTGGATGTATTTTGATTTTTTTAAGATCTGAATACTTATTTTTTGCATGCACACCTCAATATAATCAATTTAAGATTTTTTTATTTACAGGATATTGAATAAAAAGACTAAAAAATTAGGCAGTGTCAAAAATTATTTTTATATTCATACGAAAACTACCAAATTGATGTCATAGTTAACATTTTTACATCCTATTTGGTCAACTTTGTTGATTTTTTTACATTTCATGTCAAATTTGATTTTTTGTGAGTTCAGTGGTATTTTTGTGTTTATTTTCCATGTTTTTTATAATTGAAAAGTAATGGAATTTTACAAACTTAGTTTTTCCAGTATTTATATTTTTGTTGTTTTGGTTACTATTTTACTTATTTTTATAGAAAATATATATTTTAATTATTAACATTTACTGATTTATCGCAAAACATAGTCAATATTATTAAGTGGACCCTATTTTAATTTTAAAACGTTAAAAAATTGTATGCCACTGATAAACTGGAATTTTAGTGAACCATATTGGGAGTAAAGACTCCAAGCAAAAGTACTGGATCTCCAATTTTTGTTGATATACTCCTTATTCTTTTTATTCAATGCTTGATGTACACTGACATGCAATTATTGTTTTTATATCACTTTTAAGTTGGACGCACACAGAAAGAGCAAAACAGTTTTACTCAAAAACGTTTTTGACTTAATCTGTTTTTATGTGATGCCTCAATGCAAATTAAATGGGCTAACTCACACTGATCATTCGTGAGGTTTAAGACAGGTTTAGGCTCATTTAGTCAGTCAGACTGATCGACGTCGAGTGATAGATCGTCGTCTAGAGATAGATCCTATATGTTAAAACATTTTTAGTTGTAATTTAGGTAATTAATTAGTATGTTTTACAAAAACATTATGAATAGAAGTCAAATATTTACAATTGAATATTGCATAGCAGCAGATACATAACAGGTCGTGACTAAAATGTTTTAATATAAATGCTACGATCTAATAATGGACGTCCATCAGTCTGATTGTTACTAAAGAAGCGTAAACCTATCTTACCTTGCGACTGATGGGAGTGACCCCATATATACATATTAGAATATATACTGTTAATACTACCTACCGCAATAATATACCGCATTTACTCAATGAGTGGAAAGTGAAGTAAAAAAAATGAAACAGGAATATCAATCTTGCATAAGTCTATCCTTTTGGTCCAACACGATTTTTATGCGCACGCTCCAAATAAAACGATTTGATTCGTCTACTTCATCGCTGAACGCTGTCATCGTCACCTGTCCGCGCATTATCTTAAACTCTAAATATTAATAATATAATATAATATATATATATATATATATATATATATATATATATATATATATATATATATATATATATATATATATATATATATATATATATATATATATATATATATATATATATATATTATATATATATAGATATATCTATCCGTTTCTTGTTTTTGTTTAAATATGTCATAGATTTATAAATAAATAAATATATAATTTTCATTAAATTTATAAGTAAAGGCGTGAACAATCAGACGCTAAATTGATCTACTATTTACATAGTAGATAGAAATACAGAAAACTATAACACTGTTGTACTTGTATTGTGTATATTGTATTGTACAAATTGACCGACTTATGTCGGTTTTTGTATAGCTCCATCGCTCTGTCTCAAAAAATTGTCTTCAACTTTTGTTCCTGACTAGCGATATAGTCTAATATACCGGGTGCGTATCAAAAGTGGCTCAGCCTTATAACTTCTTTATTTTTTTCAGATAAAAAAGAGATTTGGTATATTAGTTACTGTCCTCTATTCACGCAGTTGTGCAGCTCTAACTGTTCAAGAACGCGATACTCTCACTTCATTCAATTGAGTCATAAAGTTCAGAACTGTTCCGCGCCATATGAAGGCACCAGGATATCGCGCACAGCTCCTTTCAGAACCGTTCTGAGTAGCCCGGGCGTAAAAAAGTTATAGGGGTGACCAACTTTTGAGGCGCCAGTATATATGATTAACCCATTTAATTTGCAATGAAGCTCACATAACAGTTTTAGCCAAAACCCTTTTTGGCTAAAACTGTTTTGCTCTTTCTGTATATCTCCAACCTTATGCCAGGTCCAGACCAAGCAGACAAAACAGTGACAAGTCAGAAACATTCATGTTTTACGACAAAGTTGTGACAAATTCAATGCATTTCTACAACATTTTTGTCTTATTTTTGTTTTGTTTCAAAATTCGGAGACTTTTCAAGGTACCGTCTCGAGTCGGTAAAGATCAAAGTGTCTATGTTTTGTTCGTATATTTTGCGACAAGTTGTCGGCGCAGTGTGGATGGCGTGTGCTGCCAACAGTAGGAGACCAGTGAAATCACACATGGTTAATAAAACTCATTTGCAACAACTAAACTTTTGACTTCCTTGTACTTTTGTCATTGCGGTGTGGACAATTTGTCTCAAGTTTGTCTTGCCAGAAGTCAGTTTGTCTTGCCAGAAGTCAGTTTGTCTTGTCAGTTTGTTTTGTTTTGTCTCAAAATCGTGTTTACTTTTTGTCGCCTTGGTCTGGACCCGACATTAGGCATTCTATTCTAAGGATGTGCATACTTTCTGATTTTAATTTTTAATGTTAATACTGGTGTTTTGAATTAACTGCATCTCTGACATTGTGTAAGCTATTAAACATTGAATGTCATCCTGTTTCTAGTATACAGGGTGTATCCTTAGTCCTGTTTCCATGAAATAGTTTCATTGTATACAAAATTAGTGTCTAGATGTCTGAAAATTGGTATATTGATGTAAAATCAATGAAATATAAAAATTAGTAGATAGTTATTAGTACATCAGAACTGGATTACTGAGACGCCAGATGTATAACAAACCAACCTCTGTATATTCTTATTCTATATTACTAATTTAGAACCAGATTGTGGCATAATTCAGGTATCATTTTTTTTTGTAGGAAAGCGGGCAAATCTGAAAGACGAAACATCTAGCGACGAAGAGTTCAAGCCAGACGACGCTTCGGATGGCAGCGACGAGAAACCGCGCAACGTGGCTAAAAGAAAAAGGGGCCGCGCCAAAAAAGGCTCTTCTGAGGAAGACGAAGCCAGTTTGACTGAAGGAACATCTGACGAAAGCGACGTAAGATATAACACAGTATAAAGATATAAAGTTTGTCCAACAATGGTAGATACGATTTCGGCAGATCGCTTACAAAATTTGACCGATAAAAATCACTGTCTTCTTGAATAGACTATAGTAGCCTTCATTGAAGAAATAAGATGTGCAACCTTATGGGCGATTTCGTGGCAGTAAACCTATCCGTGATGTAGTTGGCGTTATTGTCAGCCTGTTGGAGATTTTGTTTATCGTTTACAACCCAGCGGATAAATAATACGGTACTGTAGTTCTGCTTTCAGTCTATAGAGTGAGTGGATGCCGAGGACAGTGTTGCCAGGACTACTGATAAATCCGTAGATTTACGGATTTTGGGTACAGTAAGTTAATAATAGGGATTTTCTATCATTAAACAATTTATTATAATATTAAATGTTGAAACAAAGAACGGCATCAGAGTTGACTTGGAAATGAGGATCGCTGTTATCTCATATGTAAAATATTATGGTAAATGCCAAAAATCGTCATTTCCAAACCAACTAAATGACTTTCCATCATACAACATATTCAATACATAAACAAGGATTTTTCTTCCAAAGGTATTTTTGTCATTTAATATGGCAACACTGTCGCTTTCAGTTCCACACCGTCTTTGATATGCCTTGGCTGGCCAAATTAGAAAAAATAAGTGTTTTCTTTATGCGTTGGCTGAAGAAGGATTGTGTCTCCACTCTACAGCACTTGAGACATAAGGGGAAATCAAATCAGCCTTGTCACAAATTCGCCCATTAGGTTGCGTATCTTTCCAATTCTTTCAATCAAGGGTAGTAGGTTAACTTACAACTTTTAAAAAATGAATCAAATAAGGTATGGTGGTTTTTTGATAACCTTAGAAGATTGAAAGAGACCTTGTCACTAGTAAAACAAGTATGCCAAGGGATTAATAGGATAAATAATAATAATACACTATAAAAATAAATACACTATAAAAAATTAATACACTATAAAGAATTTAAGCTTTTTAACACGTTGCCTAATTTAGTCAATAAAAAGCCAGTAAATGTACTCACAAATTGTGTGAAGCATATTTTACTAAAATACGCATGTGTAGACGACACTTTTCAACTTTAATTTTATTGTTGATTTTTTGCGCCTCAATACATTAACTGTAAAACTGATTTTGCATCAATACAATAATTTTTTTGTTAGGATGAACCCAAAACTAAGAGACGAAAGTCCATAACAAAGGTTAATAGCAAAGCTAAAGCAGGTAGGGGCAGAGGTAGAGGCAGGCCAGCAAAATCAGCAACATCCACGCCAGCACGAAGAGGCAGGTCAGTGTCATTGTCAAATTTTCTATTTTGCTCTAAAGGAATTTTTAAAATATATTTCGTAAAATTTTCCCACATACAGGGGCCGCAAACCCAAAAACGTATCCGAATCTGAAGAAGAGGAAGATGAAAAAATGGAAGAAGAGAGTTCTTCAGAAGACGAACCATTAGTAAAGAAGAAGGCTAAGAGCTCCGAACCTCCTACAGTAAGTTTAGAAAAATTTAACATATCAGAAAATTAATTTTTTGTAAGTAGATTTGTTCTCAACTTTATTTAATCTGACTTTTTACTTTTTTTAAATTAAGTAAAGCTGTTATAAGCGGGTTATATTGTCATAATCATAATCACCCCGGTGGCGTAGAGGTACAGGCTCTCGTCTACCAATCTCAAGGTAGTGGGTTCGAATCCCACACCCGGCATTTCATCAGCCGACTATTTTTATTAAAATAAAAATAGTTTGGGTGCCTAGGTCGACTCAGCCTTAAATGAGTACTTGGGATTCACAATCCTGAGGTAATAATAGGCGGTTGAAGCGTAATGCTAGCCACATTACCTTCCTTGTATACCGAACGGCTCTAGTATGGTAAGCTGTACCTTGCTACTTCCAAGGCGTTAACCGCTATATACGGGAGCTATTATTATTATATCATTATCACAATTTTAATCATAATCATAAGCACAGTCACAATAATTTTAATATGCGTTTATAAAACGTACTTTTAATCATAACTTTGAATGAAAATACAGTTTCCAGTTTTCTTATTTTTTAACATGTCATTATTTTAAAAGTGTATTTTTGTTTAAATTTTATTACTAATTTTTTTTTAATAAGATGTTCAATTTTTGTTAAACATTAATCATAAAAGCTAAAATTTACCAACTTGAAAGTTACTAGAGTAGTTCATACATAGACTTAAAATAAAATATAGACTGAGCATCTCATTCATAAATAGCTGGAACATGCGGTCAGACAATATCTTGTTATTGTTGTGTTATTGTTTTAGGTTATAACGAGTGCGACACGAGCGATAGATAGGTTGTCTCTGTCGTAACGGTCGTTCCCTGACGACTCTGCCGAGAAACACAACACTGTCTTTCGTTTCTCAAGTACACCTGAACTCTCCGTCTCATAGCCGGGTAATTTTTTTATTTTAATGAAGCTATAATTAAATTAAAAATATATCGTATTTAAACATTTTTATATTTTATTAAGATTTAGGACAGGTTTTTTAAATAAAAGTTTTAGAAAAAACGTCTTAGAGTCCAAAAAGGATAAAAATAATAAAATACACGTTATAGAAGAAATTTTATAATCGAAATTATGTAATTTTTGAAATTAATAATAAATTATTAATTTTAGTCAAACATTTACAACCCCTAATATTAATCAAAACAGGATCTATTCCACAGATATAATAGAGTCGGCGACAGGGAGAGAAAAAAAAATATGATTGTTGTAATGTTTTTTCTGGTTAAGTGATGTCTTATGTAAATTAGAGAAAACATAAATCTGTTCCATTAAAGCAAGGAAGATGATAGGAAGTGGATAAAATGAATACTACATTTATTTAACTCGGTACTGTCTTTATTATACCGGGTGCGTCCCAAAAGTGGCTCATCCCCATAATTTTTTATATTTTCAAATAAAAAAACAAGATTTAGCATGTTAGTATATGACATAAATTAGGATTGATTGACGCATTCAATTGTTTTGGTCACTTCCTGTTTCACCGGAAATGACTATAACTTTTAATTTTAAACGGCACTCTCGGTATATTTCTACTTTATTCGATAGAAAATGACACTCTGAATAGAATGACATATAATATGTCAACTTTTGACATTTTCGCATATGGTTTAATTGTAATTGTAACACGCGGTTCATAACGACAATTTGACTCGAAATACCAAGTGTGTGGTATCAATATATTCATAAAAAATGCTTTTTCCAAATATGCTAATGAGTCACCCTTGTTCCATTTGAAAATATTGACATATGTATGATTAAAAATACGATTTGTACATCTTTTAACCGGCCTAGACAAGACACGAAACCTGTTAGACGATGAAAACTATTTTTCCAAGGCTCCTTGATTAAAACTTAGTGTTTTTAACAACACCATGGCACCCTGGATTGACATTTAAAATAGGATATATTTTTAAGCGACAATGTCAAAAGTTGACATATGATATGTCATTCTATTCATAGTGTCATTTTTTATCGAATAAAGTAGCAATATACCGAGTGTGCCTTTAAAAATCAAAAGATGTAATAATTTCGGTGAAACAGGAAGAGACCAAAAACAATTGAATACGTCAATAAATCCTAATTTATGTCATACACCTACTAACATACAAATCTGTTTTTTTTTTATCTGAAAAAATAAAAAAGTTATAGGGGGTGAGCCACTTTTGAGACGACCCGGTATATTAAAAAATATTGTTTTATAATGTAATATCATTTTAAAATTCTTGTATGTTATTTTAGATTCTGAAGATAATTTTAGAATAAACCGGAATATATTTTTAATAAAAACATTATTAATTATTAACAGGGTTATAATTATGATTTTGTTACAATGTAAGTAAGTAAATAATGTAATGTAAGAGAAAAAATTCAGATTTTACATTTTACTAAAATATTATCTAAATAAGCGCCTTTCTACAACAACGCCACTGACTCCCAATGGGTAAATTGAGAACTGCCTACCGGTCAAAAGTCGTTTCAAGACTTAAATGGATTATTTAAGTCAAATTTCTTGCAAATTTGGCACTGGCGAACCATATTTTATAGTTTTTGAACAGAAAAAGTCAATAAAATAAACACTTAAGGACTACAAGCTAAGAAAATGCGTTAATACAGCCGGGGAGATAGCGGCAACAAAGCTTTACCGTGCACACGTGCGACACGTACTACAAGGTAATAAATGAATGAATAGGCTCCCTCGCCTCTAATCGGTGTTGTCATATTTTAAAGAACTTATCCTTATTAAACAGTATCCGACTTATAATTTAGTAGTATAAGGACTATTTAATACATCTATGGAATATTAAAACCTACTTTATTAAACTGTAGTATTAATATCTCAATAAATGTGTATAACAAGAAAAAAAATATTGATAATATTAAAGACGTGACAACATAGGCTGGATGAGGAAGGCTCGGTCGACTGTACCCAGAAGTAAACATGTGTACAAAAAAGGTTGTTTGTCCGCGTTGAAATGTAAATAGTGTAGTCTATATTTTATTTTTAAGTCTATGAGTTCATATGATTATTGTGATTTATAAATCATTTTTATTTGAAATGATTGTTTTAACTATTATAATTATGACTGTGTTGTATAAACCTGGTTTAACTGATTGTTGACAGTTTTTTTATCTAATTTTTTAGGATGATGAAATTAAAACCTTCATAAAGAGTATTTTGGAAGGCGCCAATCTGGAAGAAATAACGATGAAGACTGTTTGTCAGAGAGTGTATGATAATTATCCCAACTTTGACTTAACCGCTAGAAAAAAGTTTATCAAAGCAACAGTCAAATCTGTAAGCCAGTGTTCCGTCGAAAATTATCTTGCATAAATTATTTCTCTTTTTCTTTTTTTCAGTTAATATCAACGTGAGCTACTGGATTTACAGCATTTTCAGTACCGTTGTTCGTCATCTTTGCTGTATGTTTGAGTACAAAATCCGATTTTTCATTTCACTGTTTTACCGGATTTGCAACAAATATCCTATATAATAGTAATTTAACGTTATAATATGTTTAATTTATGTAGGGACTACTCTAGATGGTACTAAACATTGTCCCAAATTAAAAAAAAATCAATCTTGAAATCTAGCACACTCTTATTGTATTTTGTTGATGAATATCATAGATATAAAAGTAGTTTATATTATTTGTTTTTATATTTGCGAGTTTAAATTTTTCTTTTACCTTAATTATAATATTCACTTAGTTTGTTGGGTAAACACTGAATTGATATATTTTACGCTGAATTATATATCAATTAAGTTGCCCATAATATAAAATAAATGTATAGTGTATATTGTGTTAGATTTTAAAGATAATTTATCAAAATATCTAGTTTTCTTTGCTGTGTATATTTTTGATAAGAATCTGACTCACAAATAAAATCTGATAGATCTATTTTAATATTTCGGATACTAAAATGATGTATTTTCTTTAATATCTTTCTTATTTAAACAAAAATATCAGTTTACTTAAAAATAGAGCTTTGATGTCTCAATCTTTATGCGCTATAGTCTTAGACTCACTGTAATTCAATTGTATTAGTTTTAAAATACAACTTTTATTATGTAATTTTGTGCTTTATTTATTAAAACGAATTTCCAGTCATTTGTATACAAACTTTATTTTGTAATTAAACTTTATAACTTAAACTTATGCGTCGGCAATTGTAACTTCAACCTCTACACCTGGCTCAATATTGATAGAAGTAATTTGCTTCACAATCTCTGACGGAGAATGTAAATCGATTACCCTTTTGTGAATCCTCATTTGGAACCTAAAAAATCGTAAAAACATTAAAAACTTTAATCTCCACGCAACTAATTAATTTTTTACCTATCCCAAGTCTTTGAACCTTCACCACAAGGTGTCTTTCTTGTTGTAATTCTCAAGATTTTGTTGGGCATACGAACAGGTCCTTTAACACGTAGCCTTTGCCTTTTTGCAGCGTGTATCAAGTCTGAACAAACCTTTTCCAAGGATCGTACATTGCGAGATGTTAAAGTAATTCTGATTCTATGAATTGAGGCAGTCTCCTGTCCAGGTTTCTCGGGGTTTACGTCTTTAGTTGCCTAGAATTATAAATATCACATTAGGTACTTGAAAATTTTCGCATATTTAGAGCTAATTGTTCAACCAACTATAGAAACATTTATGTCGTTCCCCTTAGTAGTGCTTACCATATTAATTTCTGGTCGAGATACTCAAATTATCTCAAAAATTTGATCAGCGCTGAACCAGAAAACTTTCGGACGCTACGAACACACAAAAAGAACGTGCCAAAAGAACAATTTAAAGAGGTTAAGTTTCTACCAGACTGTTTCTAGTAACTTTTATTTTTATTTCTTTACCTATGCTAGTAACTTTTCTAGAGGATGTTATTTTTCTAGTGTTGGAGACATTGAGACAAATATATTTGAATGGACCGCTCTGTGGGGCCGCTAGCTTGACCGTTAATTTTTTTAACTGTTAATTTTCGCCCTTTTTATCTCCTAAAAATGAAGTTTTACTATTTTGAATAAACAATATTTCAAATTTATGATGTATGTAGAACTTAAATGCTTTTTTAATATAATTTAATTTGTTTTTCTTCAGTTAAAAATAATTTTCGAACATGGAATATAATTATTGTATGAGAAATAATTATGATTAATGGCTAAATTATTATTAAAGGCATGAATATGTTTTAAAAATAAACGTGTTCTTCGTAGAGATATAGAGAAGGACGTCAAGGTTTGCAGAAAAGTAAAATATGTAATGAATTACGACATCACTATCTATAACCATGACGTAATCATTTTAACAAGCTATTTCTATTGTTGCCATTTAATACGAAATCGTGACTAAATCTAAAAATTTTAAGCAACGAGACAATATGTTTTTCATTTTAAAATAAAATTTAATGAGAGGTATAAATTGATAAAGAATACTAACATAACATTATACTTAACATAGGAAAGAATAACGAGGTTACTTAAAATATTGCATGTTATCTTATGTTATTTGTATTAGTATTATATTATATTATTCGTCTTTAAATTTAATAGTTATTTTCTCTGCCTATTTATTTATTCCAGATCAGAAAACATTCAACATTTGGCAACGCCCTCAGAACTCGACTTGCGTCCATCTTGATTCACTACGCGTGACATCATTTGAAAAGTAGTACCCAATTTTTTTCTTTATAAATTCAAGACTGATTAAAATCTTTGGGATTTTTGAATTGGATGGTCTTTGATCTGTATGACAAATAATAATTTAACTAATAAGATTGATATTTGAAGTCACATAATAAAAATTAGACATTTAAATATCCAGAGTAAGGTTAGCTCCCGTTCAACGGGTCGGCGTTTGTCGTTTGTCTTGTCGATCAGTCATCGCTAGTGTTGTTTATGTGTGTGGCCCATCCCAGCTAGTCTGTGAATGTGTATGCCGTATCCATATCCAGGACAGCTTTACATCATTTAATGGATTACTTCTGATAATAAGGTATGTAAACTGTCACAACATATGTTTTTATTTTGAGCCAAATAAAGCGGAATTTATTTGGCTCAAAAGTATAGAAGCCAAAAGCCTAGTTTACACCGTCAAAAATAATCAAAACAAACCAGAAATTTCATTTGTTTACTTCACATATGGCCCTTTTTTACCCTCTTGCTCATTCTTCTGCATTATAAAAATTCATTAACTATTATTAAAAGTAGGTTACAAGATTTAGTTATAAGTTTTCACTTGTTTTGTTTTGTCAATAATAGCAGAGATAATAGGTATTTATGAAACTACCTACCTATTTTTGATTTCCAGATTTGAGCTAACAAACACTTTATGTCATTGATTTTATTTTAAAATTAGAACTGATATAACTCAAACATTTCAATGCATTTGAATTGGTAATTCATGAAATGGTTCATGAAACGGTCTTCCTCTATTGAAAATAATTTCTCTATCAACTTCAATTAGCTCCTAACATAAGTAGTATATAATATATAAGTATATAAGTAGATATAAATAAGATCATGATGTGACCTTTTCACTTGTAACTATGACATGTTCTTTGAGGTGTAATATGTTGATTAATAATTTTGGAATGTGGTCTTTGAATGCTGTTTCTGCAGATAGTTTTAGTCAGTGATTTTCTTGATCAATGGTCGATTTACAAATCTTTGTTATGGATTAAATTTTGGCTTGGGTTCGTATAAAAACAACTTTCTAAAAATAAAGGTTGATTTTTAGCTGGACAGGTTTCTATTACTCTAAGAATGTGATATAAGATTATGTTGTTTTCATGTTTGGGAAGAATTCCAAATCTAGAAAATAATAAAATCAAAACACTATTATTTTCATTTTACTGTTTTTTTTATAATAGGTAACATTTGTCTGTATTTTATTAAATAAAGAAAAGAGGGTTTCAAATTTTTTATGAACAAGTCAGATAAAGATATATTTGATTCATAAAAGAATTTTAATAATATCGTGTTACACATAAAGAGGAATCAAGGCCAAAACAATTTATTGTATTAAAATATCTCAGAATCCATTCAGAAAATTTATATATGTAATTTTTGTGAGCTAAAAAATATTTAATATCAAGTCTATAAATAGATGCTTTATAACATAAACGGATTATCACAAAATGTATAAATTTAACCATGATTCAACGGTTGATTGATACCGAAAACGTAATAATATTTATTCATTATAATATACAATAAATTCTTGCCTTTTATCAGTTAAAATTACGAATTTATTTAACGAAGCGTGTAATAATAAACACATATTTACGCTACTAGAGACAGTTTGTTGTTTTTCTGCTAGTATGATAATAGTGCATATTAAAAAGATAACGAATAAAAAGAACCAAAATCGAAGTTTTCATTTAAAAGTGGACTTTTTGTAAGGTATGTCTACGAGGATTTCTACATGAGAGTGACAATTAGCTTAATTACATATACCTACAGAATGTACGGTGGAAGAAAATGTAAAATATCTATACCGGGTGCGTCTCAAAAGTGGTTCATCCCTTGTTCATCCGTATAACTTATTTATTTTTTCAGATAAAAAAATGAGATTTGGTATGTTAGCTTAATGTGACATAAATTAGGATTGATTGACGTATTCAATTGTTTTCTATTCTATTATTATTATTCCGTCTGCCGAAATCTTCTCTGACTCGTTCGACAAACTTCAGTTTTTTTTAATGTAATTTTTTATCAATAATGATAAAAATTTCAATTTTTGACACAGAATTGAAAATATTTTTAGCAGATATTCTTAAGTGTGGAATAAATTTTGTTTATAATTTCATGTAGAATTCAAAAAAATGTCCCCGTATTGTCTTTACAAAAGGAAAAACTTGTTTATTATTTTTATTTTGAGAAAAATGCATTCTTCATAAAAAAATTTGCTTGTTCTAAAATGGTTACTGCCGTTTATACTTTCCAAATTTCCATACCGTTTTTGAGAAAATTAAAAAGAAATATGAAAATAAAAAATAAAAAAAAACATGAATGGTGTAATTATTTAATTTCTATGATTTCTTACTATTTTAATGTATTAATAATTAACTATATTTTATTTTACTTTTTTTTTGGAAATAAAGGCATTATTATTAAAATATGGTTGAATTTTTGAAGTACTAAAAATCAAAAAGCGTTTCTATGGTAATATAATTTCGATTTTATTCTTTGATAGATAGTTATTAAAAGGTTATTAATAATTTTGATTAACGTCATATTTTTTGCTGTTGTTAAAGTATCACATTTTCCGATAACAATAATCACCCTTTCCCTAGCATTTGAACTAAATAAATGTGCTTCTTTAACATTTTAAAACAGCAAACCTACGACGTTAAGTAAAATTCTATCAATAACAACCTATCATAGAATGAAAACGAAATTTTATTGCCATAGAAATGTTATTTGATTTTTGGGAAATTCGGTATATTTTTTTGTTTTTCATGTTTTTTTAATTTTCTCTAAAGCGGGATGGAAATTTGGGGAAGCATAAAAGGGATTAACCATTTTAGAACAAGTAATCATTTATGTAAATAATGTATTTTTTTTAAATGTCAATAATAAAAAAGTTTTTCCTCTTGTGAAAGACAATCCGGGGACATACTGTATATTGACCGCCACTTCCGGTCAGATCGGAAGTACCAGATGAACGTGTTGCATGAAAAATGAAAAACATGTATTTTGAATATTGGCACCTAGACCTATGTTGGACGGAGTTTTGCGAGTTTTTTTTTAATATTAACAAGCGGATATGGAGTCACGCCCTATAAAATATTGGTTCCTAAAAATTTCACCTGTTTTAATGATCCAGGTATTATATTACGTGCTCACTGGCCGTGTTGGGCAAGGTTACCGACCTTGTCTGGGCCCATTATGGAAGCTTTTCATTGGTATACACATATCTATCCTCTATCAATGTCTGTCTAAATTACGCCTCGCGTTTTTCTATTAGTTTTTCTTTTGGTTTTGCTTGTTTACCTACATTGCGTTCAAAGTGGAATTTATTTATACGTATATTTATTTATACTTCACTTTAAAATTTCACTTATAAGTAGTGAAAAACTAAAAACTTTGGTTTTAGAAACAGTTTAATTGAAAAAAAACGAAAATTTATGCTATTTTACTTATTTGATTTTTTTAAATATACCTACACTGATTCATGTTTATGGATCGAAACATTTTATAGGCCGCAAGCTGTGACCTATTTTTATGTTTACGACCTATTTCATGTTTCAGTAAAGAACAAAATCGTTTTCTCTTTATGGATATACAGGTTGACCCTCGAGGATATTATATTCAAAATTTCCAGGAAAATAAAATAACTAGCTTCTAGATGTTTATATTTCCTAGTACATAGCTCTGGTACATAGGTATATCAAAGTATTAAATAACAAGGATATCTCTCATCTAAAATTATTTCCATTGTTCTGGAAATACTAAATTTAATCGCCACATTATTGTTTCATATAGACACTTGTATAGTAAACGCCACGAATGTTTGGGAGTGATTCATCGGTCGCTACCATGTGAACTCATGATGTGAACTAATCTGTTCAAGGTCATATAAAACTTAATTCCAGTGCCGTGTTGTTTCAAGTCATATAATAATCAATGTATAATCTGTTGTAATTTGTTGTTTTAACTGTCAAAGTCTTGTCAAAACATATATTTGGTTATAAATATAAAATGGAATGCCCCATTGGTCGCACTGCAAGCACACCAATGGACTGATGCACAAAAACGAATCAATCAAAGAAACGCGATATAGTATCGTCTTTGTCAATCACGCAAACATTTTAAAATAAGTAGGAGGAGCGCAGGCAGATACTTAGACCGGGCCTTTAAAAACCTACTTCTGCGGTAAAAATTTACGTTTTTAATGTAAAAATGATAGCGCGCGTGTCGATTCTAACTTCATCAAGCGATGAATCACTCCCAAACATTCGTGGCATTTATATTATATTTTCTTAATTATACTTATATATATATATATATATATATATTATGATTTAAACATCCTAACCGTCCAGTGGCGGCTCGTGGTCTGTGGGACTTGGTAGGCGACATAATTTTAATTACATCTATTTGTTCCCCAAAATTTTCATAATATCTTAACCCAGTTCGTAAAAACATGTTAGCTTATGGGTTAAAACATAGCTTAAGAATATTTAGGATAAAACTAAACTACCAGCATTCAACATAATGAGATAATGATTAACATAATGGATATGTGTGTTTTATTTATTTCCTCAGATAGCATGCTAAATGCTAATGCTTGATAAATAAGGTAGATAATTGTACCGTGCAGTTCATCATAGGATTTTATTTTATTTCTATTTATTTACGTAGCTTAACAATAAGTAAATATATTTACAAAGACAAATTAGACAAATAAATTTACAAAGAAAAACAGATTATCTTATTCATATACATATTTCGAGACTCAAACAAATGAAAAGAATAATTACTTTTTATATGTTAAATTGATTCGCCGATCTCTTAATAACGAAAATTTATTTTTTATTATATCAGTGATGTTATCAGATTGTTGAAGGGCTATGAAAATATCTTTTTCGATTGAAAGTAAACAGGAACACCAAATGCACCATACACAATAATTCAAGTCAATAATAGGCAGTCGATAAACAGATTTTAACTAAAGTTTTAAATTTAAATACTGATAACGTATGATAAATGATGAATAATATATTATGGGAACCACCGAAGGCACCGCATTTCTAAAACCTATCGAGCTTCACGCGCATGTCGGGGCGACCGAAGATATCGTCTAAACCCCGCCTTAATTCAACGTAGTCATCGATTTCCATCGCTACCGAGCGATGAGTTAGAGAGAGACGAGAGACAAAAGACAGACACATCGACGGCTGAGTGGGAGATCAAAATTTAATTTGAAAGGCGATGTTAGAAATCGCCGAACAAAGATGAATGCATTATACACCGGTCAAATTATTTTGA